GAGAGAGAGAGAGAGAGAGAGAGAGAGAGAGAGAGAGAGAGAGAGAGATTTGGCAAAAGGCAGCAAGCCTCTGTTCTGATTATGGTTGGTCGCACACTTGAACACCTCGGGCCAACAACTGTCACTCCTTCGGAAGCACTGCGTACATGGCCTTCTCTGACACAAGAGAGAGAGAGAGAGAGAGAGAGAGAGAGAGAGAGAGAGAGAGAGAGAGAGAGAGAGAGAGAGAGAGAGAGAGAGAGAACGAGAGAGTAATGTTTTTTTTTGGCAAAAGGCAGCAAGCCTCTGTTCTTTCCGGTTCCTGCAATTCTTAGTATGGGTTGTACGGTCCAGATTCTATGCTGCTGCCTAAGAGAAAAAGACAACGGTGATGGGACTATCCACCATGGAGGCTGAGTAGGATGGCAATTTGGTTATGAGTGTGGGGGGGTAATTAAGTTAAATTAACACACACTTAGAGGAGCAAGCCGGGTCAAACCTTACCCCAAAACCCACCTCACCCCCGTGGAGGTGTGAATACCCAAAGGGCGAGCCTTGTACCCAAAGGGAACAAAACAGTATTAATCTGTCCCAAAATTGGGCCTGGCTCCACTACTCGCAAAATGTGCAAAACGAGACTGAATCCTCCCCCAGATCATGGTAAGATACATCGCTATATGTTTTGTCGTTTGTGCATGTGGAGAGTAGTGGAGCCAGCGCCAATTATCCACAAGGAAAAGGGAAAACTTGGAAAAGAGAAAAGTAAAAGCTCTCATTTAACCAACTGACCTACCGTCTTCACCCGAATAGAACGCCCGGTCATTATAGCTGTATTTGGCACAATTTTCGGTCCAGATGCAGCAATAATGACCGGACGTTCTATTCGGGTGAAGACGGTAGCTCAGTTGGTAAACACCCCTGAACTGAACTGTTGAAATACAGACCCACTGAGGAGTTCGAACTCCACTGAAAGCAGATAATGAAAAGACTGCGAGCACCAATTGTCGACAAGGAAAAAGGAAAAGGGAAAAAGGAAAAGGGAAAAAGGAAAAAGGAAATTTAAAGTAAAAGCTCTGATTAAGTCCTTCGGGACATCCGTAAAAGGTGGATTGATACAGAGAAGGGCAGATTAGCAAAGGAAAAGNAAAGCTCTGATTAAGTCCTTCGGGACATCCGTAAAAGGTGGATTGATACAGAGAAGGGCAGATTAGCAAAGGAAAAGTGAAAAGTGAAAAGTAAAAGCTCTGATGAAGTCCTTTGGGACATCCGTACAAGTTGGAATGATACGGAGAAGGGAAGATTGGCATGGCCCCTGCGCAATCAAGGATGACATGCATTAATTGAGAAAAAGCTCTGCTGATTAAACCAACTGACAGAGCTCAGTTGGTGTCAGTTGGTACACCCCTGACCGGAACGGTTGATGGAATACAGACCCACTGAGTTCGAACTGCACAGACAGAGCAGATAATGAAAATACTGCGATTCTCAAAAATTACTTAGGAGCCGGTCAGCTCAATGATGATGTCTTGAGGCCGTGAGCCTTTTTTTTTTCTCCTTTTTTTCCTTTTTTCTTTTGTTTTGTTTTTAAAAAGCTCTCATTCAACTCTGTGTTTGTTTCCACTTCGATTCCTGACTGTGCTGACTCTGCTGACTGACTGATTGTTTCTACAGTCTGCAATCTGAAATGACTCCATTTCGGGACCTTACTGCTCCTTTTAATCCACCAGGACTTCCTAAAGTTGTGCCCGCAAACAACGCGCAATTTTAGGAAACGTACGGGCCACTACAGGAGCGTCCAAATTCATCCGACTCGAAACGTTTCTACTCTTCTTTTTTCTGCTGCCGATAGCTGGGCCAAGTACTGGTGTTTTAACAACTCCGGTGTTTCCACTTGTATTGCTGACTGTTTGTTTCCACTTGTTTCCACTTGTTTGCACTTGTTTCCACTTGTTTCCACTTTTTTGCACTTGTTTGCACAGTCAGCAGCAATCTGACTGCTGACCATTGTTTTTTCTATAACTGGCGTTGCTCTCATGTCTAGGAGACAATGGGTCTTGCTCCCATACTCACCAAATGTGCAAAATGAGAACGAATCTTCCGCTAGAACACGGAAAGATACACCGCAATATATTTTGCCATTTTGTGCATGTGACAAGAAGTGGAGCGAGGCCCGATAAGGAGGGAGGGGGGGAGGGGGTGGCTTGGGAGAAGGGCGGAGAGGGGGGAGGGTACGAGTGGGGAGAAGGAGGGGAAGGGTGGTGGATGCCTGTGTTTGTAGCCCTGATCATGATAGCACAGCCTTCCACTTCCACTCTCAGGGTAGGGTAGGAGGGGGGTTCTAGCTGTTCGACCATAATTCCAACTCCGGGTGGCGGCAAGAGAGGAGCTCGAGTGTCTCATGCTGCTGAGAATCTGATGCCACTGGGGGGATGGAAGGACGGGAGATAACGCTGCATTGAACCACATATTATGATATTAGTATTAATATATTACTCTTTGGCTTTTTTTTTTGGTTATTCCAGACCATATGTATTCCTCATTTTTTGTTAAAAAAGAACATTGGTAATGTTTACAAATTAGAATTGAGTTAGGAGCTGTGAGAGGAGAGGAAGGAGAAGAATAGAACAGAAGTCGCGCGACCAATCGCCACGCGTCCATGCTTATAGATGTGTGAGAGAAGCACCTGCATGAGCAAAGCAAAGCTCAGAAATGTGCACATGAATCTTGTTTCTTTGTACTGTGGGGAAATGGGTGGATCAGAAAAAAGAAAAATTTCAAAAAAGTTTGTTGTGTTCTTTTTTTTATTTTATTTTTTTGGTATAAGAGCGCGGAGTGATGGAGTCTTTTGTCTGCTTGTGGTAAATACTAAATTTCCAGACGTTTCTCTCTTGCTGAGATCTATCGAAAGAGAAAAGGGAGTTGTTTTGGTGTCTTTGCTTAGCTTACAGTGGAAGTCAGTGCATGTGTGTCAGCTTTTTTTTTTCCTTTTTTCTTTTTCTTTTGGTTTATTAGCTGGGAGAGGTAGAGAGTGCATTTGTCAGGAAAGGAATTTTTTTTCTTTTCGTTCCGTGGCTCAGAGAGGGATGAAGGGTGCTTTCTATGGTAAAAAAGAAAAAGAACACAAGTGCTTTTTCTTGTTTTCGCGAACTTTTCGGTGTGGTTTTCGACGTTGTTCTTTCTGTAAAGAAGTCTGTTGCAGGTTCCAGAAAAAGTAAAGGAGTCCAGTTTAGGAATTAATTGAAATATTATACGAGGGGAGAATCTGAGTATATAAACTCCTCTTATTGTTACCATGGATGCAGGTTAACTTTGTGAAAAAAGGACGATGTTGGGGGTTTAGGGTTTAGGGTTTTGAGGATGAAGACGTAGCTTAGAGCGTTGTTTTGAGGAGCTTCGTAAGAGGAGCAGGTCGATGGCGTGGCTTAGGTGGTCCTCTCAGTCGTTGGACCTTAGCCAGTCCTCAATCGTTTGAGTGGGGGCATTCCGTCATCAGATCACAAGGGGTTGCAGTGAATTGGCTGTCGTCAGATGAGCGAAAATGAGTTTGGTTTTGAAAGAAACGATCCAAGTCATTGGCCAGAGCATTGGGATAACCAATCTGGCTGATGATGTGGCGACTTCGCTGGCGCCGGACGTCGAGTATCGAATGCGAGAGATCATGCAAGAAGCCGTGAAATGCATGCGGCATTCAAAACGCTGTACTCTTTCGACGGCGGATGTAAACAGCGCACTATGCCTGCGAAACGTCGAGCCCCTCTACGGGATTTCAGGAGGCGGCGATCCTCTCCGATTCCGTCGTGCAATCGGGCATCCGGAGCTCTACTACGTTGAGGACAAGGAGCTGAGCATAAATGACATTATTTCTGATGCGCCGCTTCCGAAATGCCCAGTGGAGACGTCAGTTGGTGCACATTGGTTCGCGTGCAATGGCGTGCAACCTGCCATCCCAGAGAACGCTCCTATCTCGCTTCCTCCTCCTCCGAATGAGAAAAAGATGGACTCTTCTCCCACGAAAGGGCCGAGCAACGGCAAGAATGAAGAATTGTTGAAGACAGAAATCAAGCTCCCGCTTCGGCATGTCTTGTCGAAAGAGCTTCAGCTATACCGCGACAAGGTGCAGGAGCTGATAACGGAAAAGGCGGAGAAGCCTGTTCTCTGCGCTGTGTACCGCAGCCTTGCAACTGGCGCAGGGTTGCATCAACTTGTGCCTTACTTCACACAGTTTGTCGCCGACAAGGTGAAACAGCACTTGGACGACGTTCCACTCATCTTTTCGTTGATGAGATTCGTCCGCAGCCTGCTCCTCAATCCCCATATTCAACTAGAGGCATACCTCCATCAGCTCATGTCCCCGGTGTTGACAAGCCTGGTCGTCAAGCGGCTCGGTGGGAAGGTGCCGAGTGCAGATCACTGGGACCTCCGGGACTTCAGCGCGAACTTGGTTGGTTTCATCTGCTGTAGGTTCGGGTCGTCGTATCAGAATCTGCAACCCAGGATAATCAAGACTCTTGTTCACGCCTTTCTGGATCCTAAGAAGGCCTTGACGCAGCACTATGGAGCTATCAAAGGGCTAGCAGCTCTTGGAGACCGGGTGGTCGAGCTGGTGTTGCTGCCAAGTGTCGCTGGATATCTTGATGTCCTGTTTCCAGAAATGGATGGCGTCAAGCAACACAATGAGCTCAAGCGGTACGAGGCGTGGCGGTGCTATGGAGCACTGTTATCTGCATGTGGGTCGTGCATGTACAGCAGGCTGAAGTCGTGCCCGACATTGCTTCAGTTGCTGGCGTCCGGCATGCCGCAGCTGCAGCCGGTGGCGAAAGTCAGAAAGACATGCCCAGAACCAGGAGCAGCAGCAGCTAATGAAGTGAACAATGCCGCACAGCGACGTGGCCGTCTGGTGGGTACAAAATCTCCGGGTAACAGGAAGAGACCGTGTGATGACACATCGACTCCTCGACAGTCAAAGAAGCGTGCGATGGGAGGCAAAATAAGAATGGAACCGAGGGCAGGGTTGCACAACATGTTCCCTGAGATGGATACTGGCAGAGGCAATCCCCCTTTCGCTCGGTCACAACATGGGTGTGGAAACACATCTGCTACTCCTGCAGACAACAGACCTGAGGAGGCCATACCATTTGCAAGGGGCTTGTCAACTATACCATCGGGTGCAGACACAGCTGCTGATGGACAGCAGTTGCCATCACTCGAGCTGCCACCTGGACGAGGCGAACCTGCCCAACCGATCCAATCCCCCAAAACAATCAAACCCCCACAACAACCAGCCGAACCCCCACAACCAGCCGAACCCACACAACCAGCCAAACCCACACAACCAGCCGAACCCACACAACCAGCCGAACCCACACAACCAGACGAACCCACACAACCAGACGAACCCACACAACCAGTTGAATCCCCACCCCCACGAATGATATTTGAACCCCCTGAACAGGTAGAGTCAGGGGGGGGCCAATCGGAATCACCTCAACCTGCCAATACGCCAACACCATCTGAACCCCTGAGGGCAGTCGACGGTGCTCCTCTGGATGCGAGTGTGGAGGTATCCGACGAAGCTAGTCTGAGTGGGAATGCTATCCGGGCAGGCGGGACTACAGAAAAAGGGGGTGATGATGCTGCCATGCAGGAACAAGACAACCCTCTCATAGAGGAGGTGAGGCATAAGGGTGATATTGGCGATGATATAAGAAGAGCTATGGGTGGGGCAGAAGGGGTTGCCAAGGGTCATGCAGCTGGAGTCTCAGGAGGAGAAGGAAAGCAAGACCATCACCTTGGGTGCCCTCTGGAAAGGGAGGGCGTCGCAGTGCCAGAACCATGCGAGGAAGCTTGTTCAGCAGAGGGGCAGCATGCCATGATACAAACCTGGCTGCCGCAAGAGAGTGGTTCGAGTTCAGGGGAGCGCAAGAAAGAGGTCGATGCCCTTGAAGCAGGGTCGTCGTTGAAGGAAGACGTTAGCGAACTGGCGAGTGACATGTTGATATGTAGGGAAGGAGAGGATGCTGCTGGCATGCCGCTGTCGAATACAGACGAGGAGGGGGAGGTAGAGGGAAAATTGGTGTCCTTCGGACCGACTCAAGAGGAGAGTAGAGCAGAGAATGGCGAAAATGAAAGGCAGGCAGAAGAGAATACAGCTACAGAGGCTGGAAGTTGTCAACGACATGGAGCGGGCGAGAATACCGATGCCATGGAAACAGATGGATTGCCGCGAAAGGATGACGATGGGATGGACGTCGATACCCCTGGATTGGGTGATTCAGAAAAGGTAGGGGATGGTGGCAGCACTGCTGCGACGGTACTACTTTTAGACCAACAACAAGGTAGTCATGGAGGAACAGCTGCTAGAGACGAGGTATTGATGAGCTGTAGTGTAGGCGGCATTCCGGCCCCGGCGGTGCCTTCTGCGAAAAGGAGCGCAGCAGCAGATGGCACTCTGGTAGAAGATGCAGGGAATGGGTTGCCAGTCCGTGAGTGCGAGGGTGCAAAAGGGATGGCGGCACAGGAAGGGAATGGATCACCTGCAGATCAGAGAGGGGGTGAAGCAGCTGCTGCTGGTGATGAGGGGCAGCAATCAGGGCAACAACAGAGAGAAAGTGGTATGAGCAAACTTCCTGCGAAAGAGCGAACGGGTGAAAGCGGAGAGGAGGCCGTTAGGTGGAAGAGTGTGCTGGAGGAAGCGTGGAAAGAGGATTCTGACCCTGGTGTTCTTCTCTCGTTGCTGGTTGATGTGTTTGGGGAGAGCATGCTTGTATATGTACCGCTGCCAGTCATGTCATTGTACATTTAGAAACACCACTCTCTTCTTAGCTCTGGACTGAGTTTGCTATATGGGTCAGTCTCAGGAGCAACGGCTGTTAGTGCTCTTCGTTCTTTGTTTCCCCCCCCCCCCACTCTCCCTCCCCCCTAAACCCTTTTTTTTTTTTTTTGCCAATTTGGTTGCCATGACTGTATTCTCATCTGGACATTCAATTAGAGTGATGCCTTTCTGTGTAAAATATAATCCTAAGCTTCCCTGCAGCCATCCAGGTGGCTGGGCATGCTGAGCAAAAGAATGTGTCTTCCGCAAGAAGACACGTTCTCCATTTTGCGCAAATGCATTGGCGAACGGCAACAGCTCCCTGTGATATAGGCTGTGAGGTGGAGTAGTTCTAGGTCAGTCTTGACAGAGCTTTGCTGTTTGTTCCTTGAGCTCTGTGCAAGCAGTACTGTGTTTCTTACATGTGAATCCCGTCCGCGGTCCTTCAGGACACCCCCCCCCCAAGTCGTCTCGTCCTCGTCCTCTTGTTGTAGCTGTTGTTGTTGTTGTTGTTGTTGTTGTTGTTGTTGTTGTTGTTGTAATGGTGGTGGTAGTGATGGTTGGTGGGGGTGGGTGTGGGTGTAGGTGTGGTTGTGGTGGTGGTTGTGGTTGTGGTGGTTGTTGTTGTTGGTGGTGGTGGTGGTAGTGCTGCTGCTGCTGCTGCTGCTGCTGCTGCTGTTGTTGTTTTGTTCGATGTGTTGTTGTGGTGGTGGTGGTAGTGCTGCTGTTGGTGTCGCTTCTGCTTCATGAACATTGTTATACTGTATCAGTCCAATGGATCTCCTCCTCCTCCTCCTCCTCCTCCTCCTCCTCCTCCCCATCATCATCATCATCATCATCATCATCATCATCATCATCCTCTTCAATTGTTTGGATGTTGCTCTGATTGGTTCGCGTCCTCAGGGCCTGCATGGTTCTGTGATGTTTACAAAATGATGTACGCACGTACCTGCCTGCCTACCTGCCCTCCTGCCTTCCTGCTTACGTACGTAGCTGCCTGCGTAGCTACCTGCTGGCCTTCAGGAATTCCAAGCCATTAAACATCGATCAATTGCGCTATTGCCGCCATCACCACCAAGTTTGTCACCATAATTTGGCACTCGGCTTCTTATGATCAACTCCCGTTCGTCATCAGTGATACCGACTGCTGATCTCTGTGACGATGAGCTTTGCCCGACCCATCACTGCAGCTGAACTCAGAGCATTGACTGAGACTCCCTCCCCAATTACTCCCTCTCCCCAAACACAATGCTTCGTCATCATTGTCACACACGTGGACCACAACAGACAGCTCGCCCATCGCTTGGTGATGGTGTGTACTTTTTCTGTCCCTAGGAACTAAGTGTTTTGTTGTATCTCTTGCAAAACATGAGGACGGGCTCTTAACGAGCACTGTGGTCTTGACATGGGATCGATATCTCTGTAAGGACGATCTATGTCAGCTTATAAGTTTCAGACTTCAGATTTGAGATGATGTCTGAAGATGGGCGGAGTGCTCTTATTAGTAGATTCGTCTTCGCTGCAGGAAAAAAAATCACTTATTTGATGCTAATGTCATCCTAATGACATGATTTGTGCTAGTTCCAATTCAAAATATACACCCAGCCTGACCCAGGTTAATTCCTAGCAGTCCGTTTTTCATCCACTCTCCAACGACAGTAGAATATCCTAACCTCATTGATCATGAAAGTAAGCAAGCAAAAAAAAAGAAGAAGAAGAAGAAGAAGAAGAAGAAAGTAAGCAAGCTAGCTGAGGTCAAAAAAAAAAAAAAAAAAAAAAAAAAAAAAAAAAAAAA